AAAAAAAAGGAAGAAAATTCAGCTAAAGATCGAATTCCCCTGATTTTAGTGACTGAGGTGATGTCATAAATATGTTTTGGTGGATCACTTCACCCCTCCCTTCCAGAGTGGTTGAGATGGAGGCCCACAAGAAGACTTGATAAGAGACTTACATACCTTAGAGCTCTCCAGGTTGAAGTGTTCCCAGTGCTGTGCTGCCCTCTTGAAGCAGGAGGTTCCCATGGCTGCAGGAATCCAGGTAGAGGGACGAGCAGGAACGATTTGAGCCAAGCCCTTGCTGTGCTTCTCCGTTGGAGTCTCTGTCCCATGCCCTGGAGGTGGAAAAATGTGACCTGGGATGTCAGGGAGGAAAAATTCAAGTTTACTGGGTGCAGAGGAAAGTAAATAGAACCCCAAAATGATTTGGGTTGAAAAGGGCATTAAAGCTCATCTCATTCCACCCCCTGCCATGGGACACTTTCCACCAGCCCAGGTTGCTCCAAGCTCCATCCAACCTGGCCTCGGGCACTTCCAGGGATCCAGGGGCAGCCACAGCTTCACCCCCGCGGCAGGGGGTGGCACTGTATGACCCTTGAGGTCCCACCCATCCCAAACCGCCCTAGGGATGTCCTGGCGGAGGGGACACCGGAGCCCCCAAAATCTCCCTCCGACACCCCCGAGGAGCTCCGCCCGCCCCCAAACCCCGCCCAGCAAACCCCTGGGTCCCGCCCCAAATTTTTGGACCCACCCCCCCTTAAACCCCGCCCCTTTCGCGGTGACATCACCGCCCCGCGGTGGCGCGAGCGGCCCCGCCCCGCTGACGTCACGTGGCGCTACCGGGCGCGGCCACGCCCACCCCGACCACGCCCCCCTTTCCTTCCTCCCCCCAAGCGCCGCTCCGGGACCCTCGGGCAGGTAACAGGATGGGGGACGTGGGGAGGGGGGACCGGGGGACCGGGGACAGGGCAGGGGGCACCGGCCCCGCTCCCCGGCAGCGACACCCGCGGGACGTTTCGTTTCCACCGCTCCCCTCCCCTTCCGCCACCTGCGGATCCCAAAACTGACCCTCCACCCCTTCGCCACCCACCCTGCCCGCCTGTCCGCGCCCAGGGGGATCGCCCCACGGCGCACGGAACGGACCCCCCTGTGCCCCATGTGCTGCTCGAGGTCTGGTTCTCCCCCCAAAAAAAACCCCCATCCTGCTGCCACCCGCGTCCCGCTGTCCCCGGAATGGGATGCTGTCATGCGCGCCCCTTCCCACAGCAACAGCGGGCAAACGCAGGGGAGCCCCCCACTTTCTGTGCTTTATACCCCACAAGCTGGGCTTGCCTCCCAGTGATCTGGACAGGCGGCTGACCTACACCCCCCCAAAAAAAAAACCTCCACCACTGCACCCTGGCTGCCACCCCACCATCCGTGCCCTTTGGACCAGCCCCCCGCGGCCCAGAGCTGGGCAGAGGCCGGGAAGAGAGGGCTGAGCCCTCCTGTCACTCCAGCCCTCTCTGTTCCCCGCAGGAGCCACCATGGATCTGGTCCTGGAAGCTGCCGACCACCACCTGCTGACGCCCTACGTGTACCCCGCGGGGTGGCCCGAGGGCGAGCCCTGCCGCCAGCTCCTCAGCCTCTTCGTCATCACCAACCTGGGCGCCCTGGCCCTCTACCTGCTCTTCGGCACCCTCAGCTACTACTTCATCTTCGACCACGAGCTCAAGAAGCACCCCCAGTTCCTAGAGGTGGGTGCCACCCCCCGTGTTGTCACCCCCCTGTCAGTGCCCCTCGCCCCATACTCTTCCAAACTGCCAGTGTCGTGGCGTGGGTTGTCCCCACTGTGTGTCACAGCCACCTCTCTCAACCCTCTCTCCCCCCGCAGAACCAGGTGCGCCGGGAGATCAGCTACGCGCTGCGCTCGCTGCCCTGGATCAGCGTGCCCACGGTCGCCCTGTTCTTCGCCGAGGTGCGGGGCTACAGCAAGCTCTACGACAACATCGAGGACTCCCCCTATGGTGAGACATCCCCCCCCTCCCAGCCCCCTGCCAGGGCAGGACCCTCTGCCCACTGCCTGGCTGGGCAGCGTGCCCAAGAAATCCTCCTGGGCACCTCCCTGCCCTTCCTCCTGCCCCTCTCGATGCCCACTCGTGCCCTCTCTAACACCCCTCCTCCCCCAGGCTGGTCTGGCGTCTTCCTCAGCATGCTGTCCTTCCTCTTCTTCACCGACATGGGCATCTACTGGATACACCGGGGACTCCACCACAAGCTGTTCTATAAGGTATGAGATGGGATGGCAGTGGGGTGGGGTGGGATGGGATGGCAGGCCCTGGACAAGGGTCATTGCCCCGCTCTGGGGCCGTGCCCAAGCTGCTCCTCCCAGGGGTGGGAATGGTGGAGTTTGACCCGGTCACCTCAGCTCGGTCCACAGCGTGACAGGAGCTGAGGTGGGAACGTGTCCCTCTCTCACTGTTTGGGTGGTGGTGGCCCGAAGAGCGGCCCGTTGGGCTGCGAATCTGGGATTTTAGGGGATCACATCTCCCTGATGGCACACCCTGTCCCCGCAGCGCTTCCACAAGCCCCACCACCTGTGGAAGATCGCGACGCCCTTCGCCAGCCACGCCTTCCACCCCGTCGATGGCTTCATGCAGAGCCTGCCCTACCACGTGTACCCCTTCCTCTTCCCCCTGCACAAAGTCACCTACCTGGGCCTCTACATCTTCGTCAACGTCTGGACCATCTCCATCCACGACGGCGACTACCGCGTGCCCCGCTTCCTGCGGCACGTCATCAACGGCTCCGCCCACCACACCGACCACCACCTGTACTTCGACTACAACTACGGGCAGTATTTCACCCTCTGGGACAAGATTGGCGGCTCCTACAAGAGCCCCACGTCCTTTGAGGGCAAAGGCCCCCACGACTACTTGCGCAAGCTCCGGGAGAAAGAAACGGGGGCGCCCGACGGCCTCCTGGCCTCCAAGACTGAGTAGGCTCCCCCTGGCCTGCCCCCTTCTCCAGGATGACATTCCCTGGCTGGATCTTGTCCTGTTCCTCCCTGGCCACTTGTGGCTGTTTTTCCACGGACAGAGAGCCCCTGTCCTTGATGGTGTGACCAGCGTGGGGCGATTCGTGCTGAGCCCGACCCTGACCCCAAAACGGCGGCGTCCGGCCTCGCTCTGCACCACAGATCTGCCCTGTTCTCCCTGTTGATTCCCTTCCCAGCTACCTTTGGATCTCTCTTAAGGTCCCCTGCGCTGCTTTAGTGCTGTGCTGCTGCTTTACAACAACAATAACATGGCACAAATAGGACAATAACGTGGCACAAATAGAACAGTAACACGGCTCGTGGCAGGGTCCCCGTTTGTC